GGCCTCCTAGAGGTGGTGGCATTTGACCTCCCTTACAGTTAAACCCATGGAGATGAGACGGGGCAAGGGTCTCCGAGGGGTGGGAGCATCGACAGCTCTGAGCTGGGCAGCCTGGAGCCCACGTGGTGACAGTCGGGCTGCAGGGCGGAGACGAGGGGTGGGCGTGGGGGGGGCTCTGGAGGATGGGTTTGGAGTAGAGAGCGCTGGGCCCAGGCTGCTCCGGGAGGTCCTTTGCTGCAGGCTGCAGGCCAGGGTCCCGCCTGCGCCCTGGCCCTGGGCACTCTCGGCATCCATGTCAGAGGGGCGGGTGGTCCGGACAGACCTGTGACCCTCTTGTGCAGAGGTTTCCAGGGATCCACCAGGGACACCTGGGACCAGCTGGGGGAGGGGCCTGATCCGGATTCTGCGCTCGCCCCTTTGCAGCTGGGCCTCCTGGGCTCAGGGCCCTCCCAAGTGGCGCTGGTGAGCCCCACTGCGGCTCAGCGTTCGGGGCCTGTGCACCCCACCCTGGCAGTGAGACTCTGCTGCAGCCGTGAGGGTGCCTGCTGCCCTGTTGCTCAGATGGGGAAAGTGAGGTTCATGGGGCTCCATGCTTCGCCCAGTGGCCACGGCCTGCACCCAGATTTGGATTGAGCGTCCGGGTGACCCCCAAGCACACCGAGCCTGCCTCTGAGTGGTGGGGTTCCAGTGAGCCTGCCCCCTGCACCCCCAGCTGGGGTCATCCTTGCCCCCTTGGCCTGAGCCTCTGGGGCCCCAGCACCCTGGCCGTGGCCTTGGGTGGACAACAGGGGAGGCCATTGAGGGGAGTAGGGTCTCAATGAGCTGGTCTGTGCCCGAGCCGTCCAGCTGGGCTGGTACCTGGCACGGGGCCCGGGGACGGCGTGCCAGTCAGCGCTGGGTGGGCTGGGCTGTGCATCCACTCCCCACCCCCGCCAGAGGCGCAAGGCCTAGGGGGCTGGGCCCTAGGAGCTGCCGACCCCTGGGGTGGGAATGGTCCCCAGGGTCCTGGCAGGCAGACCAGGGAGGGTCCGGGCCTTTCGTGAGGTGCCCGGCCGGGTGGGAGGGGTGCTGAGGTGGGGCCGCCAGTTTCCAGGCTGGAAAATCGAGGCCCCTGCTCCTCGCCCCCACCCCACCCTGGCCTGGCTGCGCGACCGGGGAGGGTCCTTGACAGCAGGACCCGCGAGGGCAGCCGCCTGGCCCAGCAGCTGGGAGTCCCTTCCTGGACCTGTTGTCAACTCCGGAAACGGTGGCTGCGCAGGGTCACAGCCCAGCACGCTTTGTTGGGAAGGAAAGGGAGGGCGGGGTATGGGGCCGTGCCGGCGGGGTCCCCACGCTCATGCCTGACCTGTGGTGGGACAGGGAGGGACCCTGGGCCTTGGGGCCTCTTCCAGGCCTTGTTTGCCCTCCCAGAGGCCATGCCAGTGGGTGCTGGGGCCCCCTTTGTGGAGTCGGGGTGACAGGGGCTCAGAGAGGGTCTCACACAGCCCAGGTCTGGGCACCTGAGCATGTGGCTCCTCTGAACTGGGGCCAGGACCCCTCCCCTCGCCTCTCCCCCAGTGGTCCCAGCGGGGGTGGCCTGGTCACTCCTGTCTGTCCCGTGGGCAGTGGCTCTGGAGCTGCGAGTCTCCTTTCCTGGTGGTGACGATGGAGCGGTTGTCCCGGTAAAGTCCCGCTGGGCCTCCCGCTCGGGAGAAAATGGAAGGATTACTTACGGCAACTCGGAGACCCCAGAAACAAAATAAAACACGAAGTCACCATTTTCAAGTAGGGGGAGGCCCCCTAAAACCCGGGCATGTGATGGGTGGGCTGTGCATACGGCTAAATTGAATCAAATGAAGAAAAATATTTTGCAAATGCAAGTAAAATATCTGTTTAATTAGACCATAGGAGGAAATTAAAAGTAATATTTTGCAGTGGGGTAATTACCGTCTTCCCGAAGGCACTGGGCCGCAGAGGGGTGGATGACAGGCAGGCCTGGTGGCTGAGGCTTTCAGGCTTCAAGTTTCTGAAAGTGGGGCCCAGCGCTGTGAGGTGGTGGCCCAGGCTGCCCCACCCGCGCCCCCTCCCAAGGCGCAGGAAGTGGGAACAGGGCTGTTGTCCCGGCCGCCAAGTGGGGGGCAGGGCTGCGGGCTGGGCGGCCTTTGTCTCTCTGCAGCTCAGGGAGCGTCCGGTGGTCTGGAAGACCCTCGCCCCCACCTTCCCTGGGAGTGGCCAGTACCAGCTCTCGGGGACAAGGGCTGGGCCAGAGGCTGGGTGGCGGCGCTGGGCTGTCCTCCAGTCTTAGCCCCGCACCCCCGCACCGTGCCGGGCCCCAGGCCAGCCCGGCAGACAGGTGGTCTCGGGGGCCCCCGGAGCGGGGCGTGTGGTGAGGGTCCTGGCTTCTCGGTGGTTCTGTTTCTGCTGGAGCAGCTGAGCCCAGCCAGGCCGTGTGTGAGGCCCAGGGCCAGGGATGGGGCTTTCGGCCCACTCAGAGTCGCTGCTGTGTTGCCCCAGGCAGGTGTCTCCTCCTAGCCGGCCTCCGCCTGTCTTGGGTGTGTGACCTGGTTGGAGGGACAGCCCTGCCCTGTGCAGGGGCTGGTCCCGGGGCGTAGGGCCTGGGCCTCCCAGTGCCCCCCACGGAGTTGGCCAGCCAGAGGCCGGGCGGTGACAATTCCCCCATGTGCCCGGCTGCCTGTCCTTGGGAGGGAAGCTTGGCCCAAGGAGGGCCTGTGGGCAGCCTCCGGGGTACTTGCTTGTGGAGGGGCTTGAGGCGCCCGAGCAGCCGCTGGGCGTTGGGGCCCTGGTGGGGTGCCGGGGGCCGAGTGGTGGCCGGGCAGCCTTGGGCTGTCTCCCCAGTGGGGGCCTGAGCTTGCTGGGCTCCTCCCCGGGGCTGTGATGCTGGTGCCCCGTGCCCGGATGGGGCAGGGGCCTCCCTGGCAGTGGCTGTCCTCCTTCCTGATAGCCCAGCTGCGTGGGGGCCGGGGCAGGGCACGGGGCCGGGGCTGTCTTTCCCTCCTGCCCTCTGCACGGCCACGGGTGGGGACCATGTGTGCTCAGCTCAGTCAGGGCTCCCTCCCCTCCCCTTCCCTCCACTCCCCTCCCTTGCTCTTCCCTCTGCTTCTCCCCCTGCCGCCTGCTGTGTGGGTGTGGGGGCGACAGAGTGGGCTCCCCCAGAGGCCTGAGGTCCAGGAGACAGGCAGAGACCTCCTGGCCTGTCCAGAGGCTCTAGAATGAGGGCTGAGGCCAGAGCTGGGGACTGGGCTGCCTTTCAAGTGGGGTTAATGGCTCTAGCAGGGGGGACTTCCTTCACCTTCCCAGCCACCCCCTGCTGCGTGGAGAATCAGTGTGATCAGAACTGGACTGGGAAACACAGGCCCCGTCTGCCCTTGGCCTGGGGCTGCGGGCTGAGGCTGGCCCCGATGGGTGGCCATGGCCCCCGAGAGGAAGTCTGGCCTCCAGGTGAGCAGAGTGGGGTTCCTGCACGCTGGTCTCTGGGGGGCCTTCCTCCCGCTCTGCGGGGCCCCTTGGACTGGCCTCTGGCTTCCCGCAGGGCTGCAGGAGGGAGGGGCCTCGGCTACCGGGACTAGGCTGGAGAAAATCCAGGCCTTCCGGAGTGGCACGGCTCAGGCAGCTGGGCCTGCAGGGGCCACTGGTTCACGGTGACCTGGCCTGCCTGGGGCTGTGGGGTGGGGTAGTGCCGCCTAGTCAGGGAGTGGGGTGGTCCTGGGGATAAGGCGAGGTGACCGCCTGCTCATGCTGGGCGGGCCGTGACCCTTATAGCACTGGCCACCCTGGGCCACAGCTGTGACCACGGCGGGCCTCCTGGGCCCCTGTGCACAAGGCGCGGCAGCTGCAGGGCAGACTCAGGGCGTGTGGGGTGCATGAGACACCCCTGGTGTGATGGCCTCAGCTCCCGGTCTGAGACGTGGGCGTGCTTGAGGAGGCAGTGGTCCCTTTTGTGGCCAAGAGGGTGGCTTGGTTGGAGCCAGGCTTTGCCTGGAGTCCCTTTGAGTGGTGTGGCCAGCAGTCAGGGACCTGCCTGGGCTGGGGCAGGAGGAAGGCAGGGCTAGGCTGGTGCTACCTGCCCAGGCCAGGGCCCTGGGACTGAGGCTCACCCCTTGGGGAAGGGGCGCGGATGCCAAGGGGCTGGCCCGCTCCTCCAAGAGCAGTTCAAATGCTGCTCCTGGCTCAGACTATGACCTCTACAGAGTTGTCTTGGGGATGAGGCCATGGGAACAAGCCTCCTGGTGGTCTGCAGATCGACTCCTTCCTCCTCTGCTTTTGGAAGGCGTCACCTCCGCCAGGAAGTCCTCTCGGACTTTGAGGCCGGGGCAGGGCCGTCCTCGGGGTTTGCCTGGCTCCTGTTCTTAGCCGTCTCTGGACATCGGTCTCGTGGCTACAGAGACCCGTGTGTTTCCCAGTTCAGGGGAGTGGGGCCGGAGCAGTGGGGGGCAGCCCCTGGCAGCTCAGGCCCTGGGGAGCCTGTGTCCGCGCCTGGACCGCTCTGCTCAGGGGCTGGAGTGAGCGTTTCTTCGCGAGGCCTGACTTCTGTTGGTGCGTTTGCAGTAGCAGCAAATTTCATTTTCCTCCGATCCCCCAGGGCTGGAGACCCAGGAGACGCAGGGCGAGGGTCTTGCGCCCGGCCCCGCCTGAGCTCGTGCGAGTGAGGGAGGCCCGTGCCCTGGTGCAGATGTTGCTATTAACGGGGCCCCACTTCTCGCCAGCCTCCCAGGCCCCCATGACCCAGTGGCCTGTGCCGGGAGCTGCAGACCCGCCTTGTTAGCGGCAGCAGGGCTGTCCTGCCGGCCGGGCGGTGGGCAGTGCTCAAGGGCTCCGCCGGCCTCACTGTTAAGCTCCGATAATGATTTTCCCGCCGGGCTCACAGGGCTGAAAGTGTTCGGGTTTATTAATCAGTTATGGATGGCATGGCGGCCTCAGCGGGAGCTCGCAGCGCCGCCACGCAGGGCAGGGTGCGGTGGCGGGTCCCGGCGCTGACCGTCCTCTGTCCCTTTTGTCCTCAGGAGCCCTGCCTCTCTGCCCTGCTCCTCGACAAGCTCCCAGCGCCCGGGGTCCTGCCGGCGTGCCGCCCGGAGGCCGAGAGCCGCTGTGACGTCTGCGCCACGCACCTGCAGCAGCTCACGCGGGAGGCCCTGCACCTGCTGCAGGCCCCGGCCAGCCACGAGGACCCCGACACCCCCCGGGGAGGCCCTGGCCTCGCACCTGCCGGCCCCAGCGCCATGACCAGCCTCAGGGATGCTCCGGGACCGACGGGCCCTGCAGGGAAGCCGCCGGGACGAGCAGGGCCCGACAGGGCGAAGGCGCCGGCCTGGCCGCCTGGGCCCAGTGTCCAGGTGTCGGTGGCACCCGCGGGCCTCGGGGGGGCCCTGAGCACAGTCACCATCCAGGCCCAGCAGTGCCTGGAGGGCATGTGGAGCGTCTCCAGGGTCAACAGCTTCCTCCCGCCCGCGTGCCTGGTGAGTGCCTGTGCTGGGAGGCCTGTCTGGACCGGGGATGTGGGGTCCCCGACTCTCCTGAGTCCCCAGATCCCTCCTCGATGGTGCTGGGGGGCAGGGCCCTCCTGTGTCCCCAGGCGCGACTGTCGGGGACAGTGTTGGCCAGCCTTGCTTCTGAGACTGCGGTGACGCGGTGGCGGGCGGAGGGCCGGCCTGGGCACGGGGAGCGGTCCTCGCCAGGAGCCTGCTGGCCAGGCTTCCCCAGGGCCACGGCGCGGGTGACACAGACCTGCCAAGTGGACTGGTGGTAGCAGGCATCCAAACCAGCCCCACGGCAGGCCTGGCCTCTCCCAGGAGCTGCCTCTGTTTAGTTGACTGATTGGAGCCCCCAAACCTTCCCTGCCCACGGGACCCCAGAGAGCCCCAATGTGTGTCTGCGATTTCTCCCCAGCAGGACGTGGCCGCCCTGGAGCTGGCTCCGGACGCCCGTTCTTGGTGGGGCCTGGGCTGGTGTCAGCTCTGCGGCTGCTTTTCTGTGGGCTCTGGGGCTGTGCTGGTGGGGCTGTCTCTGCCCAGTACCCTCTGCCCCCGTCTTTCATCTGGGAGAAGGGCCGGGATGGGGCTCAGGACGGGGTGGGCTGGGTTCGAGACATGCAGGGCTCTGCGGTGTCCTCCCCAGAAGGGCACAGCCGGCTGCTCTGCCTGGGCCCTGCCTGATGTGGGGTCACCTCCTCCCCGGGGCACCGTGACCCGCGCAGCACCGTGCACACGTGGGGACTGAGGCTGAGGGTGCAGGGCCCGGCCACGCGTTTGCACCGGATCCTGCTCTCCCGGCAGACGGAGCCGGAAGGAAGGAAGGACCCTCCCAGCAGGGGGAACAGCTCATCGGAGGCCTGGAGGCCCTTGAGGCCAGGCTGGGGTGGGCGGGGGGCCGGGGACTGGGTGACTGTGTGGGGGAGCCCCTCTGCATCGCCGCACCCCCTGCCCTAGAACCTCTGGTGAACCCTGTTTCTGCTCAGGGCACATGGCAGTCCCACGGAGCCTGCGAGAGCTTCCTGGTGGCGGGGTCTCCCTCGGTCTCCGTGCCTGGTGGCGTTTCTAGGGGTGGACAGAGGTGCAGGGAGGACCCCACGGTCACCGAGACAAAGTCGTGTGCAAATCTCAATGCAGGCAGACCTCTGCCCCCACTTTCCGAGGCCGGAGAGATGGCACTGCCGCAACGTCACCCCCTCCAGTGTGGCCCAGGCTGAGGATCCTGTCCCACCTGGGCCGGTCCCTGTGACTGGCTGCTGCGGCCCGGCCTTCTGAGGCCACCTTGTCCTTGGGGTCGGGGTGCACGGGGACTCCCGGGAAGAGCTTCTGGACCCCGACTGGCCTTGCCCAGGTGTGACGGCTGCCCTGTGTGGCTCTGGCACCACACCCTTCTGTCTATCAACGTGCTGGCGAGGCCAAGAGTGGGGCTGGCTGGCTGTCATGTGTCCCCCGGTGCCTCCTGGCCCAAGAGGGGGTGCCCTGGGAGGGTGGGCTGCGGGCAGCGTTGAGGGAGGGCAGCAGGTGAGCCGGGCGGCTTCCTGGAGGAGGTGGCATCGGGCTGAACCTGGAGGGAAGGTCAGGTGACAGCCCGAGACCCAGATGGTGGGACAGAGGCTCCCTCCCCCCCGCCCCCCCGCCTGGCCTGGCAGTCCCCACTAGCCTGTGCACAGCCTGCGGCTGGCTGGAAACTCAGCACGGCCGGCGCACAGTAAGACGTGGGCATTGAGGCACCTCTCCCAGTTTTCCGTGGGCATTGATCATGTCCGGCGTGGCGGGAATGGATTTCTAATTAGACGACAGCCCCGGCAGTCGATAGGGAGATTATTAGAACCATAAATAGAACTTCAGGACTCAGACGAGGTGATTTCCCCTGAACCAGGGCAGCGATCATCAGAGTTGGCCCCGGAAAGTTAACGTTGCCTGTTAGATGCTAGAATTAAATTCTTCTGGGGAGACGTGCCACGCGTCTCTGCCACAGCCCGTCAGCCACCCCGGGCCCGGTGAGACTGTTGTAGGCTGGTGGGTGGGACCGGGCTGCTGTGGCCCCCTCTGTCCCAGGGTGTGCAGAGGAGGGGACTGGGCTTGGCCCCAGTGGGCGCTCTCGTCTCTGCCAAGGCCTGGCAGGGAGGCTGGAGAAGGCTGGCTGGGCCTGGCCAGAAGGCAGGTCCTTGGAGGGGGACGTGGGTGACCCAGGGCCCCCTGAAGCCACAGGCAGGGCCCCGGGACATTCTGGATACTGAGGCCAGGAGCCTGCCCTGGGGGCCCTGCGGGGTCTTGCCATGGGCACGGCTGTGCCGTAGAGGCCTGTGTCCGGATGGAGCAGCCCGGGCCAGCCGTGGCTGTAAGCGGAACCACGGTCACTTCGGTGCCCATGAGCGCAGAGCGCGGCCCCTTCCGGGTTGTTCCACGTGCTGAGTGTCCCGAGATGCTTCTGGGCCGTGGGAGCTGCCTGAAGGGTGGGTTGTTGCAGACCGCCAGGCAGAGGCGCCTCTGCCACTGCGAGGTGCGGAGGCCACCCACGGGAGCGGGGCTCTGAGCTGTCCCCACCTCCTGCTCTGAGAGCGCCGGACAGTGGCCGCAGGGGCCCCTTCCGCTCCCGTCCCGGCCCGCTTCCCCGGGGCCACCGGGGCCTGGGACATGCTGTGAACAACGGCTCATTTCACCCTCGCTGGCTGTCCCCACAGCAGGCTGGAAGCGGTGCAGTGGACACCCACGAGGGCAGCCCAGGGGGCGGCGAGGGGGACACAGGTGGGGCAGCAGAGCGCAGGGAGGGAGGGGAAGGGGGAGCTGTGCCTCAGGGCTGCTAGGCAGGATGGAGGGCTTCGTGGAGGAGGCGCTGCCGTGGCTTTGCATTTGGGGTGGGAGCTGAGGTCGTCTTGGCGGCAGCCGCGAGGAGCCAGGGCCGCTTTGTCCATGGCGGTCGAGTGGCTTCGCCTTGGAGGCTCCTGCCGCCCCTGTGCCAGGCTGAGAGGCTCTGGTGGGCGCCCCCTGTCCGCAGGGCTGTGGCTGGAGGCTGGGGGCTGGAGGGAGCCCTGGCTGGCCCCCACCTGGCTCTCTGAGGACGCCCTGGCTCCCCGCCCGAGGAGGGAGGGTGGATAGGGTGGTGCCCACTCCGCGGGTGGCAGCGAAGCTGCTTCTGTGGCACGGGGCAGGACTGGCCTTCATCGGGTAGAATTTTCCCAGCTTGGGGCTGTGCCCTGGAGCCCTCCGAGGGATGTGGCTGGGGCTTGGAGGGGGCAAGCCCGCCCCACTGAGGCTCCGGAGAGGGGCGCACGCCCCTGGACGATGGCGGTGCCTGCGCAGGGGTGAGACCGCATCTGCCAGATGAGGCTTGAGCCGTCCCGGCTGCTCCCAGCCCCGCCCTCCCTTGTGTCCCCACCTTTCAGCACAGAAGAGCACAGCGAGGGGTTTGGGGAGCTGGAATCTCACAGATGCGGAGTTCAGGTCTGGAGGGCTCCTGAGAGGGGTTAGTCTGGTGTTTCCTAAACTGAGTTCCACGGAACCCTGGTGTTCCTGGGGCCAGCAGGTGCTCCCTGCAGGCGTCGTGGGAGACCATCCCCTGTCCCCTGGGCGGAGACAGTGGGGCCCTCGGCCAGGGCGCGCCTCGGCCCCCGGGGTGGGTGCTGCCGCCTCACGCGCTGCTCTCTTCATGCTTTTCCTTTCGTTGCTGCTGTGGCGCCTCCATCGCATTTTCTGTTTGGCCGCCCGCCCCTCCCCGCGCCCCCTTTCTTCTCTCCCCGTGTTGTGGTCTTCCCTCTTGCCACCCCCTCTTCCCGCCCCTCCGGCTCTCGCTTTGCCAGACGGCTTCTTTTGGCATGCCCGGGCTCTGCTTCCGGCAGGAGCTGGCCGAGGCCGTCCCGGTGGATGGAGCTGTGTCGCGGCAGCTCGCGGGACGGCGGAGCCGAGGCACGTGCAGGACTCGCGAGACAGGTCAGTGCGGGCAGGCCTGGCCGGCCGCAGGTGCGTGCCGTCGCCGGGGGCCGGAGCATGGCGGCCGGCGGTGCAGAGGCTGGCATGAGATGGCGGGATGGCTTGGGGCTCTCTGGGAGAGGGTGGAGGGGGTGGGGGGCCAGGGTGCAGCGGCTCTGTCCCTGCTGTGAGCCCTCCAGCCTCCGTGCTCCTGTCTGGTGGGAGGCAGGGTGTCGTGGTGCCTCGTGGAACCGGGCGGTTGGGCCTGGCCTGGGACGCAGAGCGTGGGCCCCATGGTGGTGCCTTCGCAGGGCTGGCTGGAGCCTGTGGATAGCAGGCAGGCTGTGGGGGGTGCGCCCTACCCTGGCCTCCCCAGGAGCTCCTGGCCCGACTGCTGGCTGCCACGCCCAGCGGGTGCTGGCTCTGCTCTGGGGAGCTCAGGCCCTGTGGTCAACATCATAACTTTAAATTAGTTCTTTCCTGTACCACCGTGCTCAGGGAGGGAGTTTAGATCTTTCGTAGGAAACACATGTATTAAGGGATAAAAGAAAGGATACACATTCAAGGTGAGGGAGGGGCTTGGAGAGGGAGAGGGCTGGCCAGGCTGGGTTCTGAGGGATGTGCAGGAGTTCCTACCCTATAGGCAGGTGGCAGGGTGTGGTGTGCTGGCACAATGCCCGGTGAGCAGTTCCAGGTTCACCCTTCTGTTCCAGGTTCCAGGTTTGCCCTTTGATACCGACCTGTTCTTCCTGAAGCCCTGGAGGAGTGGCCAGTGCTCCAGGGGCCAGGAGGGCACTGGGCTTCCATCCAGCCTAAGGCTTGGTGCTCTCTGTGAACCTCCTTTTGCAGACAGGGTTCTGTTCCGTGTCCCAAGAGGGGTTTGGAAACTGGCACTGGCCTTGGGTTGGGCAGGGTGAGACTCTCCACTGTGGTGAGCAGGGAAGCTGCCCTGGGATGGCAGGGCCTCCTTCTGGAATGTTCCTCCTGGGGCCCAGGGTGGCTTGTTCTGCTGAAGTGCAATGCCTGGCCTCTGGCCCATGTCACCTGGGGGACCCTAAGGACATGGGCCCTCCATAGCAAGGCTGCCACCCTGGGCTCCCTAACCCCAGGGTCACCAGACCAGCTCAGGTCCTCACTGTGGGGCCCCCAGGCTTTGCCGCCTGGGCACGGGATCCCCAGGGGCTGTGGGAGCTCCGCGCCCCAGTGACCAGGCTGTGGGGCCCAGGGAGTCCTTACAAGGCTGGGAGCAGCGGGCCCTTGGGGAAGGGGGCCGGGCCTGGGGGTGGCTGGGCTGAGGCAGGCCACCTTCCCTGCCCTGAGGGTGCTGCGTCCCCACCCTGCCCAGGGCCAGGGCTGGCCTGGGGTCTGGGGCCCGGCGTGTGCACATAAACGTAACACACAGAAGCCACGTCTGAAGCGCAAGGGGTGCGTCCCAGGAGCATTTAATCACGTTTGTGCTTCGTTGTGAGGCTGTCTTCCTTTCTGGAATTTATCTTAGCTAATTAGTCAGAAATGCCAGGATAGTGTTTCAGATGCTGGGAGCGTCATCCATCATCACGCGTGGGCAGTCAGTGCTCCTGCCCAGGGTTTGCTGTGGCTTCCGTGTCTCCGGGTGCTCCCACGTGGCACGTGAGGGGCTGCGGGGTGCCGTGTCCGTGTGTCTCAAGCACCGTGGTCACTAGGGGAGCCTGGTGGGGGAGGGGCTGGAAAGCGTGGCACCTGGGCGCTGTCTGCGTCCGCCTCTGCCTCCGCGGCCCCGCTGGCGAGACCAGCCTTGCACCCGAGCTGGGGACGTGGGGCCCGGGTGAGGCCCTCCCCCGCTGGCCCTGTCTCCCAGCCCCGATTTCGGGGGCCTTCCCAGCCACAGCAGCTGGGTCCTGCCAGTGCGGGGGCCCAGGGAGTGTGCTGAGGCTCGCGCCGCTCCGGCTCCCCGGTGCCCACCCATCCGGCCCTCACTCCGACTCTCTCCTTCCCTCCAGGCCGAGGCGGCGGTGGCTGCAGTGGCGGTGGCAGACACGGTCCGAGACGGCCCCCCCACAGCGAGGCCCGATGGCCTGTTGAAGGCGTGGGGCCGTGGTGGGGGCTGCACGTCGGCCCTGGTCACCCCGGCTCTGGGCACCTCGGCGGGGGGCTCCACGGGCCCGTCAGCCGCGGCCTCCTTCTTCATAAGGTAGGTCCGGGGAGAACAGTGTGTGGGGGGCTGAGGGGCCCTCGGCTCCCAGCCCCTGGTGGCCCATGAGCTGTCCTGAGGGGACCCCTGGCCTCGCCTGCAGCTGAGCCGAGCCGGCGGGAGCTGGGTGGGCCGCGGCGCTGGGCAGCTCTGGCGGGGGCCCGCTCAGCCTCCCAGGACACCTGCAAGGACGGTGCTTGTCCCGTGGGTGTTGACGGAAGCGTCAAGTGGGGGCTTCTCGGCCCCCGGGCTCACTGCCGAGGAGGGGCTGTGTGGCCAGGGGCTGGGGCTGCCAGGCTGGGGCTCAGTCGCTGCCACTGCTGAGCTGTGCAATCTTGGGCAAATCCTTTGACCACTCTGTGCCTCGGTTTCCTCCCCTGCCACGTGGAGCTCGTCCTCGTAGGGTCGCTGCGAGCTGCAGCCAGCTAGTGTCCGTGAGGCGCCAAGAGCAGGGCTGGCCTGGAGTGGGAGGCTCCACCGTGGACACGAGGGGCCTGCCCTGGGCCTGCGGGGCAGCCCCCTCTGTCGGGGAGCACGGCGGGTGGGCCTGGGGCGGCAGGGGCTCGAGGGGTGTCCCTGAGTGATGGAAGAGGTCGGAGGGAGCCAGGGAGGGCGTCCTGGAGGGTGGGCTGCACCTAGGCCCCCTGAGCTCACAGCTGGTGGCTCCAGCTCCGCCAGGAGCCCGGCCATCCTGTGTCGGGGTGGCCGTGTCTGATGTCTCGGGGTTCTTGGGGTGCCTGGGGGTGTCTGGGGCCCATTGTGTGCCTCTCTGGGCCCGGCCTGGGGCTCTCCGGGCGCCAGGTCCTGGGATGCGGCTGGGGTGGAGGTGGGAGGCGAGCAGAGGGGTGGGGAGGAGGAGTGGTGTGGGGGCTGGGCGTGCCCTGGCCTTTCTCCCCCAGAGTCCCCCGCTCAGCCCCTCCCGCGGGCGCCTCCTGCTCCCCTCCTGCCGGGTGAGGGATGCGGATTACAGGATGTAATCTCGGTAATGAGCTGTAATGGCAGAACCAGCCGCGGGTCACTGTCCCATTAACAGCCCCTCGCGGGCGCTGATAAGCTTGTCGGCGAATCACCCGGGCGGGCGAATCACCCGGGCGGGCGCAGCAAGGAGGGCGCCTTATCAGCGCCGGTCCGGGGGGAACCGCGGCCTGATTGGGGAGTGACGGGGCATATGATTACTGCATTGTCGAGCGCGGCTGATGAACATGCCCCGCGTCGGAGCACAGTGGCCGCTGCATGTGACTAATGTGGCCTCAGCCGGCCTCCGCTGCCACCCCAATTAGGCGCCAAGAGCCCGGCTGGGACCCTCTGGGTGGGGGCTGGGGTCTCCCGAGTGCCAGCTGGCAGTCAGGGCGGCGCCCGGGCAGGGGGACAAATGGGACAGACGTCCTCACCGTCCCCAGTCCTGCTTTAAAAGGCCTCTGCCACCAGGCTTGGCGCATCCTCTGTGGCCACCTTGCTTGGGTCATGCTTGGCGGGAGGATGTGAAGGGCCTAGACTTTCTGAAAAGAAAGGACAGCTCCCGTGGCTGTGTCCGCAGGGCTCCTGGTGCCTGCGGAGGGACCCTGTCCCTGGGAAGTGCGGGTCCTGTCACCCCCGGGGCTGGCTCCTTAGCAACCGAGCCCAGCAGAGCGGGTGTGAGCAGTGCGGCTGCCTTTTGTCTGGGAGCTGGCCGCGCTGCTGACCTTGGCAAGTTACCATAGAGACGCCAGCACGGGCGCGACGGAGCGGGGGCGCTCGCTGCCTGCTGCCGTTACTGTTACTTCCACCTGTCGGACGTCTGCGTCCCAGTGGGGGATCCTGGCTTGGGCCCGTCAGAGGGCGTGACCTGCCCTGTGGGTGGCAGCCCTTGGCCATCAGGGTGCTCAGAGCGTGCCCGAGACTGTCCACTCCCCCGCTCTGTTGGGGGATGAGGCTCAGTGCCGGGAGGGAGACGATGGTGCTTCAGGCCCCTGCCCGGGGGGCCTGGGGCACGTGCCAGGCATATGTTCTGTGTTCCCACCCCCACCCAGGAGAGACCTGGAAGGCAGAGCTGACCCCAGCCCATGCCCTGCCCTGGGGAGGTTTCCAGGGTGTGGGTCGGGGGGCAGGTCTGTGGAGGCCTTTGGTGGCAGTGTGGATCCAGGCAGGGGCCAGAGTAGAGGGCACTGTGGTGCTGTGGGCCTCGGGGGTGGGCTTTGAGGGCTGAGTAGGAGTTTGGCAGGTGTTTGTTCAGCAGAGACAGGATGGGGGTCAGGAGTTTGGGTTCTCAAATCCTGTAGTCCTGGGGGTCTTGGCTCTGCAGCTGTCCCTGAGCACACTCCTGGGCCAGGCACTAGGGTGTCATCAATGCTCTGGGGGTGTAGAGTGCAGGGCTGAGCCTGGCGCTCTGCCCCGCCCCCAGGCGGGCCATGGAGGTCACACTGTAGTGGAGCTGGGAGGGCTGGCCGCCAGCGGGGATCTCAAGAGGCCCTGTGAGCACGTTTTCTCCAAAGGCTCTGGCAACCTCAGTGCCCTCCTTCCGGACCCGCTGCTTCCTCCTCACCGCCACCTCTCTGCCCTCTCCCCTCCCCTGCGAGGCCTCCGTCAGCTCTCCCCCACCCCGCCCTTCTGCCTTTGGGGATTCACCTCCCAGACCCCTGCGTCTGGATGTCTTATGAAGAGCCACTGGGAGGGGAGGCTCCCTGCCGGGCTCGGGCAAAGGGGACCTGCTGCACTCGCAGTCCTTGAGACCCCCCATTGCAGCCTCAGCGCAGCCCCGTGCCCAGGTCCCCGGACGGTCAGGCTGGCGCCCGGCAGAGGGGCAGGACAGGTGGGCACCGCCCGCAGGCTCCCAGAGGCTCTAGCTGGGGACTGGCCAGGGTGTCCTTCACCTGCCTCTTGGCCTCCAGATGAAAATCCTGGGTGACATGGAAAGTGCCAGCCCCAGCAGGCCCAGGAGTTCGGGTGCTGGCCTCAGGCCCCAGCTGCCTCCGGCCGGGGTCCAGGGCTCGCTTGACGGCTCTGCGGGACCCAGTGGGGTCCCCGATGGAGCAGACCCTGCGGTGGCAGGTCCCCGGGCTGGAGGGCGGGGCTGGTCCGCCAGCCTCCTCATCCTCACGGCCCAGTGGGTGCTCTGCGTTGGCCGCAACCAGCCCCGCTCGTGTCTCCTTGGGCAGTCAGGGCCTCGACGGCGACGCCAGCTGCCTGTGACATTCCCTGCTTGTTGGGAGCAGGTGATGTTTTTTGTAAAAAGGCAAAATATTTCCCTTTCTGTTTACTTGGGTCCATGACCAGGGCCAGCGAGCCCGGGAGACGTCTGTCGGCTCAGTCTTCCCGGGTCCTGCTCGCTCGCTCAGTCATTCGTTCACTCACTCACTCACTCACTCACTCATTCACTCACTCACTCATTCATTCACTCACTCACTCATTCATTCACTCACTCATTCACTCATTTGCTCACTCGCTCGCTCGCTAACTCATTCATTCAGTCACTCATTCACTTATTCATTCCCTTATTCATTCACTCACTCATTCACTCACTTGCTCACTCGCTCATTCACTCATTCATTCATTCATTCACCTACAGGCATGTTCTGAGCTCCCCTGTGAGCAAGGCCTGGCTTGGTGAATGTCTGTCCCCAGGCCTCCAGCTGGGGGACACAGCTGTATAAACTGGCACCTCAGGGTTCCTATAGCAGCAGGAGGCACGGGCTGTGGGGCCCAGCTTGGGGCATCAAGGCAGGCTGCCTGGAGGAGGTGTCGCCCAAGGATGGGGTGGGCTGCGTGTGCAGGTGATGTTCCTGCTTCTCTGAGCGTTCCTTTCAGAGCCGAACCACGGAGACCTGCGTACCGCACCCTGCCCCGCCTGGCACCGCAGTGGGTGTTCATGGTCCTGAGCCAGGCATCCTGTCTTCTTGTGGCCTGGGTGGGGCCCAGTGTGGCCCTGCCCTACTACCTCCACCCCCACTGCTCAGAAACCCTCGAGGGCAGGCCTGGTCCCCCAGGCCCCCGCACGGTCCGTGCAAGCAGAGGTGCAGTTGCGAAGTTGGGGTCGACATGTCTGGCGGGAGTTTATCCTAGATTCAGGGGGCCTAAGTTTCATCAAAGGAGAGAGTGCCTGGGGCCTGTTAACGCAGTAATGTGTCCACACCCGTGAGGTGAGCCTATAGGAGCAGGCTCCCTGGGGGCTGGGGCGGGCGGGGCCTATTGGCTCCCAGCCCCTCGGGGCCAGTGATGGGCAGAGAGAGGAGGGGTGTTCTGAGTTGGTCAGATCGTGGGGTGGAGACACCTGGCCAGTGACCTTCCAGACCCCAGGGCTGGCGGATCCTCAGAGGGGGTCAGGCCCAGCCTCTGTCCCGGTGGCCCCAGGGCCTGGATGTACCTATGTAGTCCGGGTGCACTGAGGTCCGTGCTGCCGATGCCGGCTCCTGAGAAGGGCACCGGGGGGGCAGAGCCTTCCGTGGGCTCGGTGTGGCCTCGGTGTGGCCTCTGCAGACCTGAGGCTCCAACCTCCATCTCGCTCCGGCCTCTCTAAGAGCCTCAGCAGTTGGTCATGGGTCCTCCCCTGGCCTCTGTGTCCCCTTCGGGCTGTGGGGTGTGGGTGCAGGCTGCCCTGTCCCCACTGCCTTGAGCGGGAGCTGGCTGGAACCCTGAGCCTGCCCAACCTGGGGAGGGGCCTGGGGGTAGGACGTGGCTGCAGGGAGCAAGTGAGGGGTGAGGAGCCTGCTTGGGGGGCTGCCTCAGCAGGAGCCATAGCCAGGCGTCACCGCACCCGTTGACACAAGGACATGAGTCCGGGGAGCCTCCTTGTCCTTTATGGGGGTCCCCGGGCCGCACCCTCCCTTTCCCAGCCCTGCCCCACCCAGGTAGGGGGCGGAGCGGGGGTCCCACCTGCACCTGCAGAGCCCCGCCCGCCCTCCCGGCCCAGCCTGGTGGGGCAGCCCTCCCTGGGGGGGTCCCAGCCCTGGGGCGCCAGGCAGGTGAGGAGGGGCTGCCCCGCCCAGCTCTTGCCTACTAGATGCTGATTTTCCCAAGCTGGGGCTGCAGCTTCTTCCCAGGGAGCACTGGCAGGAAGCTGCTGCGTAGCCCGGGGTGGTGGGGTCGGGGTGGGCAGGAAGAGCCCTGTGGACTACGGATGGATAGACAGCCTGGCGGCCTCCCCGGCGAGGTGGCTCACTCCGGGCCAGGTGGCTCACTCCGCAGGCCGGGCTGTGGCTTTGCCCCTGCTCTGCTCAGAGGCCTGTCTTGCCTGGGCTCCTGCCTGCAGACAGATGCACAGTCAGCCCCAGGTGAAGGCGCTGGCCTCTGCCCTGCCCCCGTCTGCTATGTGATCTCTGGGCGGTGGGGGATGGGGAGCTCTAACTTGCAGGGCTGTCGCAGGTTCACGCGTGTGTGACCGGGCGAGGTACTGGGCAAACGCTCGCGCTGCCGTGTGAGGTCTGCGGGTCTCAGACACGCCAGACTGCACCCCCCGCTGCAGATGGCATTGCCACCACCAGCTGTGGCCAGAGAACCCACGTCCCCGAGGCCTCCCCATGCCCAGAGTTGTGTGAGCTCCTCCTGGGCATCTCCGGGACCGTCACTCCTCACCCCGCCCCTGGCCCTGCCTGGGTGGGCACGGCGCTGCCACCGCTGCTCTATTAAGGACTTCTCCATGCGTCGTCGATTACTTTTATTTTCTACGATGACACCTCGCTAGGAGGAAAGCCGTCCCCAGGGTCTCTTGAAAGACAGCTCTGATTAAAGACAGAGGAGTTAAGCAAAGTGCTGGCGGCAGGTCTCGCCGCGGTGGGAGGCGCTAGGAGGCTGGCTGTGGCCCCCGGGTGCAGCCTCTCCATGTTGGGACAAAATGGAGCAGAGGGTCGAGGGCTTTGTGGGGCGAGTGGCCCTGGGGGTGCGGAAGCGGGGCGAGCCGGGAGGGTCCAGGCCGCAGCCATCTAGCCCCGCCCCCGCCGAGCCCCAGCTCCTGTCTCCCACTCCTCCTGCTCAGAGCGGGCGACGGAGGCCCGGGGAGGCGTCCTTCACATCTGCGCGGCCTGCTGTCGCCGTGCTGTGGGGCCCACAGCTGGTGTCGGGGGCCTGGGGCGCACGCTGCAGGGAGTGTGGGGAGGGCGGTGGTGGCTCCATGCGTGGGCCGGTGGGTGCAGAGAAGTCGCCCCGGGAACAAATGGGGTGAGCAGGGGAGCCCACCTGGGGTGCGTCCCTGGCAGCAGGTCTGTCGTGGGCAAGGGCCCACGGGTGCAGTGTGAGTGTCCGTGTGTCTCTGTGTGTGTGCTTATCCCACGTTTGTGTGTCCCTGTGTGTCTCTGTGTGTGTGCTTATCCCACGTTTGTGTGTCCCTGTGTGTCTCTGTGTGTGTGCTTATCTCACGTTTGTGTGTCTCCGTGACTGTGTCTGTGGTGCGAGTGTGCGCACGTGTGCGCGCGTGTGTGCGCGCGTGCGTGTGTTTGCGTGTGTGTGTGCGTGTGTGCGCGCGAGTGTGCGCGTGCGTGTGTGTGCATGTGTGTGTGTGCGAGTGTGCGTGTGTGTGTGCATGTGTGCGTGTGTGTGCATGTGTGCATGTGTGTGTGTGCGTGCGTGTGTGTTGGGGTCCCCTGGGAGTCCACACCAGTGGCTACCAAACACGCCCAGCACCGCCTTGAGGGTGTGAGAACCCTGGTGTCAGCCACAGCCCCAGAGGGCCTCGGAGGGGTCTGGGTCTACTGAGACTGTGGGTTCCGTGGGACGCCGTGGGGCGCGGCTGAGGCTGGGGCAGGCGGGTGGCAGCCGGAGCCCACGGAGGCCTTCCTGGCAGGGTGACCAGGCCACTGGGGCCCAGGCAGCGTCTCCAGGACAGATCCAGGGCCTTGGTGCATGCAGAGGGGCGAGGGGGGGCATGGTAGTCATGATGGCAGCGTTAATGGAGCTCCTTTTGTATGCGGGCACTGTGCTGGGTGCCCTGAATGCATCAGCTCCCCAGGGCCACACGGAAGCCTCCAGTGGTCACGTCATCCTATTTTAAAGCCAGGGAAACCGAGGCACAGAGAGATTGGGTCAACAGGTCCGAGTCACAGCCTGGGCAGTATGGCCGGCACAGCTCTCGCTGTCCTGCGCCGCTGCCGGGTGGGGAGGAGGTGGGGGTGGGAGGACCACGCCTCCCGCGCGGGCACAGGCAGGGCGCCCAGCCCGTTGGCCTGGGAGGGGCTGCGCAGAGGCCCCCACTTGGAGAGAGGATGTGCAGGCCACACAGCCCCGTTCTGGCCACGTCTCCTGGGACGAGTCTCCCGGTGGTGGCTGATGGGGTTCTGAGGGTGAGACTGCCTGGTGCCTCGCGAGGGCCGGGGACAGGGACAGCTGCTGGCACCCACTGAGTGCCCCATGCCTCTCCTCCCCAGGGCCGCCCAGAAGCTCAGTCTGGCCTCCAAGCGCAAGAAGACCCACCCGCCGCCGGCTCCGGCCACCCGAGGCACCTCCGTGTACCCCACCGACTTCAGTGGGGTCCTGCAGCTGTGGCCGCCCCCCGCACCCCCCTGCCTGCTCAGGGCCACCTCCAAGGCCAAGGACAACTCCGGCAGCGTGGGAAAGGTGGGCCCACCCCGAGTTCAGGGGCCCGGGCGGGGGAGGCCAGGGTGTCTGAGGAGCTGCGGGGCGGCAGATGGGGCAGCTCCCTCTTCCTCCTCCCAGACGGGCAGAGGATGGTTAGCGGGGCACGGATGGGGAGACTGAGGCCCAGAGAGCCGGGGGTGAGGGGTAGTGCGTCCACAGCGGCTCCAGGGCCAGGTGCTGGTCTCCGCGGGGCACTGCCGGACCAGGGCCGGGTTCGGTTGGGACCTGCAGCTCTCCAGCGTTGCCACGTCCAGGCAGGTCCCAGTCGTGGCCGTGGGAAGGGCGATGTGTGATGGGCTGATTTAGGCTGCCTCGTTGCAGTTGGGGAAACTGAGGCCCGGAGGGGGCAAGGGCCTCGCCTGGCGAGGGGACAGGCTGGCCGGCCTGCACTCCCCCAGGAGCTATGGCCCCTGGTGCTGGCTGCACCCCCGAGAGGCCTGGGGAGGTAGCGACACCTGCCATTGGGGGGCCCCCATGTCTGCTGTGAGCCACGGGCTTCCCTCCCAACCCACCCCCAAGCCTTCCTCAGGCCTGCGCTGGTGTTGGCCGGTGGTCCCGGCGCTGGTGGGTCTTAGGGAGGGTTGGCTCCAGGAGTGGGCCTGAGGGCACAGGTGGCCCTGGGCGGCCGGTGGGCTGGGGGCCCGAGGGGTGAACTGGCAGTTCTTGCTGGCTGCGGCCGTGGCTATGGCTGGCCGTGGCTGGGTGCCGGGCAGCTGGCAGTGCGTGGAGCTGCGTGCGCATCGGGGGGTGCGCCTCAGGAACTCCCCAGCTCTGGGTCCTTGCCCGGCACGTCCCCCCACCTTGGCGGAACTGGATGAATCTCCTTTGCCTCGGGCCCTGCTCATCTGTGGGGGGACGCTGGCCGGGCCATCTCTGCGTCCCCCTGGCGAGCATGTTCTGAGTCAGTGACCCTAAGTCAGCGAGCTCTGTCCTGGTGCTGCCGACTCTCACCGCTCTGCCCAGCCCAGGGCGGGGGCTGCCTGGAGAGGTCCCCTGCGCCTTGGGATGCCCCCATGCCCAGCACTGCTAGTGGCTGGGGGGCAGAGGGAGGGTTCCCGCCCTGTGTCCCTGGTGCCCTGCACGGGGGCTGTTTCTCCCGCGGCCGCCCTGGGAAGCGAGGCGGGGTCGTCAGCCCCGTGTTCTGGCCCAGGAGAGAGGTTGGGCCAGGCCCGGCCGACACGTGCACCCCAGCGTCCTCTCCCCGCTGGACAGCCCCTTAGACAGGGCCGGTGGGTGCTGCCGGCCACGTGGGCTGCAGAGCGTGCCGAGATCCGGGGAGGGACGGCTGAGGTCGGGGCCCCAGGGCAGGCGGGCAGTGTGTGGGCTTCTAGCCGGGCACTGGACTCCTGGCTCTGACCTTGGCCTGGCCACTGAGCCTATCGGTCCGTCTGCGCCCCTCCATCTGCAAGCAGGGGTGAGGGGTGGAGGTTGAGGGGTTCCTGGCCCCCTTGTGCACGTTGCAGCACAGAACTGCTGCTGCTCTGCCCCAGCCAAGGATCCCTGGGGGCTTCTCCCTCCTCCCTGTGGCAGAACCGCCCCACTCCCCTCCCCAGCTACTCAGCCCTTCCCCAGAGACAAGGAGCCCTTGGCCACCAGCCTTCGAAGCCCCCGCCATGCCCCTCCCCAGCTCCCTGGGTGTTATTAGCGCTAATGTCACATGGGCAGAAATGCCACCTGAAAGGCGTTTAATATTGTCACTGAAAAGAAGTTAGATTACGCTCAATTTCTGACATTAATGTGCTACTTAAGATAATTCATCACATTGTGGTATTAAAAAAGACATCCCTTTCTGGGTGGGTGCTGAGAAGCGCCCCTCCCCCCTCGCCTGCCTGGGCCACCTCTTGGGAGCCGGAAGCCCTTTTTTATGCAAAATGTGTTTTTTCCCTACCAAGCAGCTATTCAGCAGGGCTTTGTAATATCTGAACATTTGGGGAGAGCCTTGACAGGCCTGTCTGCGGCAAAGACCCTGTCATTCCCGCGGTAATGACTGGGTTGTCTCTCGCACACAATGGCTTGGCGCTGGCACGGGGCAGCGCGGGCAGGGGTAGGCTAGTGGGCCGGTGCCCCGCTGTGCTCAGTCCCCTCCCCAGGAGGCCGGGCTCTGGGATTAATCCCACCACTGAGCGGGTGGCCATCAGGAGGTGTCAGAGCCAGATTGGAGGCTTCTCTGGGCCTCCCCTCCCGCCCGGAATTCTCTCAAACGTGCTCTTGAAGTGGCGAGGAGTTCACGCTGCAAAAAATTGCCAAAAATTACCGGGAAGCGTGCGTTTTCGCGTTTTCGTCTGCTTTGCAGCAGCGTTTGGAAACGAAATAGATTTGTTCGTGTCGTCGGGGAATAAAAGAATCGATTCTCGCCTAATGGAGCCGGTTCTGAGAGGCACAATAGAACGTGTCTCCGGGCTCCTCCCCGGAGAGCGAGCAGGTTTGCATATCAATCCACACGCGCCCAAGGGGCGTCGATGGCGCCTGGCGCGCACTACCCACGGTAAACCAATTTTGCCGGCGTTATGTATCTGTCACTTACAATTAAATCTGTGAAAAATATTGGCTCTGAAATGAGTCTCGGGTAATTTGATTTACGCCGTAGTGGAGAAATCAGAGATTTCACCGCAGGGTAGACTGTGGTGTCCTCCAGGAGGGCCCCTGACTCAGGGTGGCTCGCGGGCGTGTAGCACCTGCGCGTTGAGAGCCCTGCCCCGTCCCCCGGCGCCCGTGCACGCCATGCACCTCTCGGGGCGTCCTTTCTCCACACGGGTCTGGGGCGTCTGCTGCGCAGCTCGCGCTGGGCCCCGGCAGCGCCCGCTGAGCATCTGCCCTCTGAGGGTGCGGGGCCGGCGGTCCAGGGCTTCCCGAGACCGGCACGGGCTGGGATCTTTCTGTGTGTTGGAGACACGGTTGACGCTGCCCGAGCCAGGGCTGCGCGTCACCTGCCAGGGCCTGGGGAGCTCAGGCCGGAAGCCCAGCCCACCCTCCTGCCGCCAGCGCCTGACCTGTGCACCCCTGCACCACCCGGCCTCAGTGCCCCAGCCCGCACGGAGGGCGCGCGGCAGACGGTTGCAGAGGTCACAGCTCTCCTGGGGCGGATCCTCCTTTTCTTTTGCATCCGGGTTTGTCGTTCTCGTAGGATTTTCTGCCGCTTCTGCTCACGAGTCCTGCCGGCCTGTGGGTGTTGGGTTTGGCTTTCCCAGCCGGCCGTGGGTCAGAGCGGCAGCTGCCTGACAGTCTCCCCAGGCCTCCGAGGCCTCACCCTTATGTGGGGCGTCGTCCCCCATTCCACAAATTCTCCCGCCGCCCCCTTCCGCTCCCTCAGCCCCTGGAGGACTTTGGCCTAGAGCCCGAGGGTCTCTGGATGGGAGAAGTGTTGGGGTGCTGGGCAAGGGGTCCTGCTCCGTCCTGCCCTAGCCTGGGCAGAGCTGCTTTGCAGGACTGAGCGCCCCTCTGCGCACTGAGGGGTCTGCAGCCTGCTGCCTCCTGCTCTCTGTACCCCGTCCTGGCCACTGGGGTGTGTACCGGCCAGCCTCCCTCTGCCTGGGTTCATCTTCTCCCTGTGCCGTGACCTCGTGTGGGTTGCGCTCCCCCCGAGCAGGGGCGGTGTCCGCATTCCTGCCGCATGGGTGCCTGTGCCAGGCCTGGTCGGCTGCCCCAACTCGCGGCTCCTCTGCCCTGTAATCAGCTCAGGTGTGCCCCCTCCTCCCCCAGGTGAAGGTCGTGCTGCGGGTCTGGCCGGCCCAGGGGGCCCAGCGCTCGGCCGAGTCCACGTCCTTCCTGAAGGTGGACCCTCGGAAGAAGCAGGTGACTCTCTATGATCCAGCTGCCGGTCCCCCGGGCAGTGCAGGCCCCCGGCGAGCCGCCACCGCAGCAGTGCCCAGGTTGTTTGCCTTTGATGCCGTCTTCCCCCAGGACTCCGAGCAGGTACGGCGGCAGGCAGGCTGGGTGGGCGTCCTCCTGGGGGCGTGGGGGCCGCCGCTGGCTCAGGACCAGGGACAGATCTGTGCTGGCCCGTCTGCGTGAGGTGAGGAGGAAGGAGGCGGAGAGCGAGGCCCAGCTGGCCCGGTGCCCACCGAGTCTACCCTTGGGGGGCTCCACCCAGTCACTGCCGCTGCTGCAGGCCCAGTCGCTGGGAAACGCCTGGCTTTCCGGAGCCCACCCTGCTTGGAAGCTTTCTGAGCAGTGGTGCGTTTTGCCCTGAGCATGGGGGCATCCAACGCCCCTGCGTGTACCGTGTGCATTGAGACCGTGTGTCGTGGTTGTCCCTGGCATGCGTGCACGTCGGCACAGAACTTCTGTTTTAGTGATGTGTGTCCGCGTGTGCACACGTGTCTGGCTGGTGCATCCTCTGTTCGCTGTGCATGGTCTGTGTCTTGTTCATGTGTGTTCCGTGCTTCCTGTGTGCACGTGGGAGCCGTGTCTGTGGTCCTGCGTGTGCCAGACGAGCCCCCCTGTGGGCCGACGGCCTGTGTGCGACAGGGACAGACAGGTTTTGGGTTCACAGATGTGGTGGAAGGTAGGTGGCCGCAGGCCCCAGCCCTGGCACCGCCCGATTCTCTGTGCCCCTCCCTAGGCTGAGGTCTGCTCGGGGACCGTGGCCGACGTGCTGCAGTCTGTGGTCAGTGGGGCTGATGGCTGCATTTTTTCCTTCGGCCACATGAGCCTTGGTGAGTGCGCTGTCCTGCCCTGGGTGAATGCCGCCAGCCGCCCCCACACCCGTCTCTGCTGCTGCGGTCACTGGCTCCGCCCCAGGCGGGGAGGGGGATGGTTCTCCAGCTGGGCAGTGGATGGGCATGTGAGGTCAGGGGTCGTGGAGAGGGAGCGGGAGCCCTGCAGAGCTGGAAGGCAGAGGCCTTGGAATGGATCATAGGAGGCCCCTGAGGTCTCAGTGGCCCAGGTTGGCCCTGAGGATCCTTGTCAGGGCTGGGGAGTTGGCCCCGGGCCCGGCCCAGCTTCGAGGGCTTGCGTGTGGCGTGTGGGGGCTGACGTGGCTGCGCCGTCTGCAGGGAAGTCGTACACCATGATTGGGAAGGACAGCTCGCCCCGCAGCCTGGGCATCGTGCCCTGCGCCATCTCCTGGCTCTTTAAGCTCGTCGCGGAGCGCAAGGAGAGGACGGGCGCCCACTTCTCCATCCGCGTCTCGGCCGTGGAGGTGTGCGGCCGGGAGCAGAACCTGCGGGACCTGCTGGCCGAGGTGGCCTCTGGCAGCCTCCAGGACGCCCAGTCTCCAGGAGTGTACCTGCGGGAGGACCCTGTGTGTGGGGCGCAGGTGCGCCAACTCCGCTGTCTCGCTGGGGAGCTCGGGGCGTGCAGGCTGGGGCTGCGCTTGGCCCTGAGCCGCTGAGGGTGCCCTCGCCTCTGCCTTTCCTGCAGCTCCTGAACCAGAGCGAGCTGAGGGCGCCCACGGCGGAGAAGGCGGCCTTCTACCTGGACGCGGCGCTGGCGGCCCGCAGCACCAGCCGCGCGGGCTGCGGGGAGGATGCCCGGCGCAGCTCGCACATGCTGTTCACGCTGCACGTCTACCAGTACCGCGTGGAGAAGTGCGACCGGGGAGGAAGTAGGTGCCATGCCCCGCGTGTGCGCACAGGACGTGCACATCAGCTGAGACCAGGCCCAGGGTCCCTGGCGTCCACTGTCCCCCTGGGGTGTCCCCTGAAGACTCCTGTTTGGCCTGGCGTGGGGCCGTGGGGCAGGGCCTGGGGGCCTTGGGGCCTCACCGTCATTTGCCTGCCCTATGGTTCCAGTGTCCGGAGGCCGAAGCCGCCTGCATCTCATTGACCTGGGCAGCTGTGAGGCGGCGTCTGGCAGGGTTGGGGAGGCTGCCGGGGGACCCCTGTGTCTGTCCCTGTCGGCCCTGGGCAGTGTCATCTTGGCCCTGGTCAACGGAGCCAAGCACGTGCCCTACCGGTGAGTGTGGCGCCTCAGCAGGCATGGGGTGGGTGCAGGTCGGGGGCTGGGGCAGTGGGCTGGGGAGGGGCCAGGCCCCTCGAGTCTGGAGCGTCCGCAGTCCGGGGGGCTCTCAGGCTCCTGGGTTCTTTGCTCGTCCCCCGCCTGAGGGGCCTGGCTGCCCGGGGGCTGCCTTGGCCCGGCGCTGGGCTGGGGGCAGGTGCTGGAGCCCAGGGTGCAGGGACGGAGCGGATGCCAGACCGGACCCCGGCTTCCCCCTCACCCAGCCTCCCACGCTGAGGTCTGAGCCCCCTCGGCCCGCAGGGACCACAGACTCACCATGCTGCTGCGGGAGTCCCTGGCCACCACCAGCTGCCACACCACCATGATCGCCCATGTCTCGGATGCACCGGCCCACCACGCCGAGACGCTCAGCACTGTGCAGCTCGCTGCCCGCATCCACCGCCTGCGCAGGAAGAAGACCAAGGTGGGCCCATCTCCTGCCCACCCTGGCTCCTGGTGCTCCTGCGGGGCATGGCGGGGGAGGGGCAGGTGGGCCTGCTGTGCGTCCCTGGCGCGGGGCTAGTTCCTCTCCAGCCTGCCGCCCACACCAGGCCCAGGGCGCTTGGGAGAGCTGCGCAGCCAGCTCACAGGGGGCTTCCCAGGCACCCCCACAGGGGCGTGCGGCCCTGGGCCTGAGTCCTGGGTTGCAGCTGCGGCCGTGAGCAGACGCCCTCGTCTTTCTGAGCTCCTCTCCTTCCCTGAAATGCTGGTTGGCGCTGTTTTCCTTGCGAAGTGGCTGACAGGAGTCACGTAGGATCTTGCCTAAGACTTTCAGTGGGGTTCCCAGCGTCCCGGCAGGACTTGCTCAGTGGCCGCTGCCGTGGTTTCCGTCACAGGGACCACAGCATTATGTCGTGGGAGGGTCCAGGGAGGAGGGCGCTGGGTGGGGGGGCCGGGCTCACGCAGCGTCCTTTGCCGCCAGTACGCCTCCAGCTCCTCGGGCGGGGAGAGCTCCTGTGAGGAGGGCCGCGCCCGCCGCCCCCCGCACCTGCGGCCCTTCCACCCGCGCACCGTCGCGTTGGACCCCGACCGCCCGGGCCCTGGGCTGCCCAGAGACCCGGATTACTCATCCAGCAGCGAGCAGTCCTGTGACACCGTCATCTACGTGGGGCCGGGCGGGGCGGCGCTGTCGGACCGGGAGCTCACGGATGACGAGGGCCCACCCGACGTCGTGCCCATCATCCCCGCCCTGAGCCGCCGCCGGCCGTCCGTGGGCCCGCGAGACGCCGACCACTTCCGCTGCAGCACCTTCGCGGAGTTGCAGGAGCGGCTGGAATGCATCGACGGCAGCGAGGGGCCCCCGGGGCCCCCAGGTGGCTCCAACGGGGCCTGGGCCAGCCCCGCCCGAGGGAGCAGGAAGCCCTTAGCACCCGAGGCTGCGGCCCCCAGGAAGGCCATGGGCTCCCCGATGGCGGCCAGCACCCCTCAAGGCAGCCCCGGCCTGGACACCCACCGGGGTGCCCCGGAGCCCTCCAAGGCCAGCGCCTGGGGTGACCAGAGCGAGGACGGCGGCACCCGGCCTGCGTTGCCCACCCTGGACAAGGCCCCAGGGGGTGGGGGTAGGAGGCCACTGCCCAGCCCGGCCCCTCCGCCCCTTCAGCCAGAAGCTCCCAGAGCCCCGGAGGAGTCCAGCGGAGGGGACGCGGACAGTGTGGTGCGGACGCCCCCCGTGGGCACGAGTGGGCCCCCCCTGCTCCCAGACGTGGCCTTCCCCTGCCCGACTGCTCGCCGCCACTGTCTGGAGCGCAGCCTGCTGACCGCCACGGTGACCCTGCAGCAGCCCGTGGAGCTCAATGGCGAGGACGAGCTGGTGTTCACGGTGGTGGAGGAGCTGTCCCTGGGCGGGCTCGCGGGTGCGGGGCGGCCCCCCAGCCTGGCCAGCCTGGGCAGCAGCTGCTCCCTGCAGGCGCTGGCCTCGGGCTCCCGGCCCGTCAGCATCATCAGCAGCATCAACGACGAGTTCGATGCGTACACCTCGCCCGCCCCCGAGGGCCTGGGCAGCCCACCACTCGGTCCCCCGCCGCAGCCTCCCCTCAGCCCCGACTCGCCCACGGGGCCCGACGCCCCCGCCTTGGACAGGCCTCTGGAGGGCGGCGGCCGCGGCGTCCCACAGCAAGACGGAGCCGACAGCCCTGGCCCGGCCCGGGGTCCTCAGCCCTTGGAGGCAGCGCCGGCCCCACCGGGGAGGGAGCCCCATGCTGGGTCCCCTCCGATGGTGGCCACGGCACAGACCATCCACTCCAGCCTCCCGCGGAAGCCGAGGACTACCTCAGCGGCCAGCCGCGCAGGCTGCGCTCACCTGGGCCAGAGCCCGCCTGGCCGAGGCCTGTTCGAGGACCCGTGGCTGCTCCGGGTGGGTGACTGTGACGTGCTCCAGGCGGCCTCCACCGGCAGGGCCCCCAGCCCCACTCCGGGCTGCCCCCGGCTGCCTCAAGCCCAGGCGACACCGGCTTGTGCCCAGAGGGTGGTGGCCGGGTGTGAGGTGGCGGCCAGGGTGGCCCACAGGCCGGAGGCTGTGGCCCGGATCCCGCCGCTGCGGAGGGGTGCCACCACGCTGGGCGTGACCTCGCCTGCTGTGTCCTGTGGGGACACTCTGGCCGAGGCGGCGGGCTGCTCCGGCAGCCTGAAGGCCTCCCCCACCGGCAAGAAGAGCATGGCTCCCAAGGGGGGCTTCTTCCCGAGGCCCAGTGGGGCAGGCCCCCCGGCCCCGCCGGTGCGGAAGTCCAGCTTGGAGCACAAGAACGGCCCGGCCCTGGCACCCACCCAAGCTGTGGGTCTGATGCGGGTTGGGGCTGCCACTGTCATCCGAGGGGAGGAGGAGGCCAGGCCCAGCGGCCGGACTGACCACCCTGTCCCCAGGGCCACATCCAGCCTGAAGGCCCGGGCCGGCAAGGTGGAGGCTGTGTACCGTCCTGCTGGCCACGGGTCTCTGGAGCGGTACGAGGGTCTGGCCCACGGTGGCAAGGTCAGGGAAGCCCCTGGGCGACCGCCCCGGGCCGTGCCCAGGTTGGGTGTGCCGCCTGCCAGCCCCACGCCGGGACCGGCCCCTGCCTGCAGGAGCGGCCTGGCCAAGAGTGTGGGGGCCCCGAAGGCCCCGCCTGGTGGGGCCAAGGGCCGGAGCCTAGTGGCCAGTGGGTCACGGGCTCTGGGTGCTTCAGTCAAGCCTCTGGCCTCTGTGGCGGGCAGGACCCCCGGTGGCCCTGTGACAGGTGCCAGGGTGGCCCCGAAGTCTGGGCCGGGTGTCGGGGCCAAGACTGGCCGGGGCACCATCATGGGCACTAAGCAGGCGCTCCGGGCTGCCCACAGCCGTGTCAACGAGCTGGCGGCCAGCGCAGCCCCCAGCAGAGGCAGCCCCTCGTGGGGCGCGGCCGACTCGGACAGTGGCAATGACAGCGGCGCGAATGCTGGTGAGGAGCGGCCGCCCCCGTGCCCGGCGCTGCCCTCCCCCTACAGCAAGGTGACGGCGCCGCGGAGGCCCCAGCGCTACAGCAGTGGCCACGGCAGCGATAACAGCAGCGTGCTGAGCGGGGAGCTCCCGCCTGCCATGGGCCGCACGGCCCTTTTCTACCACAGCGGTGGCAGCAGCGGCTACGAGAGCATGATGCGGGACAGCGAGGCCACCGGCAGTGCGTCCTCCGCCCCCGACTCCATGAGCGAGAGCGGGGCCGCCTCCCCCGGCGCCCGCTGCCGCAGCCTCAAGTCTCCTAAGAAGAGGGCCACAGGTGGGTGGAAGCGCCAGCCTTGCCGTGTGCACAGCCCTCTACAGTTTGTAGGGCTGGGAGGTGCTTGGCAGACAGGCACAGCCTCGCACAGCCCAGAGGCACAGGCCCCTGCTAGTTGCGGACTCCCCAGCGTGCCGGCGGCACAGGCCTCTGCCGTGTGCACACGCCCAGAGCAGCAGCCGCTCTCCGGCCCCCACTCTGCCCGGGCAGGCGTGGCTGAGTCCTAGGGTGGGCCCCTCGAGCCCCCAGGTGGGCCCTGGCCCAGCTGCTCACGCAGCGCCCGGCTCTGTTTCAGGTCTGCAGAGGCGGCGGCTGATCCCGGCGCCACTGCCGGACGCCGCTGCCCTGGGCCGCAAGCCCAGCCTCCCCGGGCAGTGGGTGGACCTGCCCCCGCCCCTGGCCAGCTCCCTCAAGGAGCCCTTCGAGATCAAGGTGTATGAAATCGACGACGTGGAGCGCCTGCAACGGCCGCGTCCGGCCCCGCGGGAGGACCCAGCCGAGGTCAGGCCCATGGTGGGCTAGGGGTGGAGGCTGAGCCCTGGCGGGAGGCTGGGTGGCCGCGTGAGGGCTCGCCAGGCCCCTGGGGGTGTGGCCCGGCAGTCCCTAACCCTGCCTTCTTTCGTCCACAGCCCTTCCAGGACGTGAAGGTAGGAGCCGGCTCTGCCCAGTCTGCGGTGTCCGCGGTGGGCAGCGGGTTGGTGGCTGGAGGGGGTCTTGAGGCCACCGTTGCTGTCCCCTGGGGTTCTGCCTGGTCTGGGGTCCCAGAACTGTGCCAGGATCCAGGCAGGCACTGGCAGGCTGCCCCAGGGGCACCATGTACTGGCACACACAGGGCCGTACCTGTGGGGGCCCCAGGAGCCCCAACCCACCCCCTCGTTGAGGCCCTACTGTGTGCCTGCCGGGCCGGCAGGCAGGTGGAGGGAGTAGGCGTCATGCTGGGGTGCTGGAAGTCCGTGGGCCCAGGCCCCATCCTCCGCGCTGAGCCCCTCCACCGCCCTGCGCAGGGCCCGTGTGTCGGCTCGAGACTGAGGCAGGCGGAGCGCAGGCAGCAGCGGCTGCAGGAGGTGCGGGCCAAGCACGAGCGCCTGTGCGCAGAGCTGGCCGAGACCCAGGGCCGGCTGATGGTGGAGCCCGGCCGCTGGCTGGAGCAGTGTGAGTGTCGCCCCGGGCCCCAGGGGGGCGCAGACCTGTGGGACCCCAGCCCGTGCCCCACCCTGGCCCTCCTGACTCCTGTGTGCCCTGGAGCAGCCCCTCTGCTCTCTGAGTCCTGGCGGTCGCGCTCACGTACCCCGTCGGGGAGGCCGGGGGGACACCGTTCCTGCCCCGGCCCCGCGCCTGACCCGCCGCCCTCCCCTGCCCAGTCGAGGTGGACCCGGAGCTGGACCCGGAGTCGGCCGAGTACCTGGTGGCCCTGGAGCGAGCCACGGTGGCCCTGGAGCAGTGCGTGAACCTGTGCAAGGCCCACGTCATGATGGTCACCTGCTTCGACATCAGCATTGCTGCCACCGCAGCTGTCCTGGGGCCGCAGGAGGTGGACGTCTGAGGCTGGCAGTGGGCACGGGAGGGGACGTGCAGGGGGTGTGAGGGCGGCATGTGGGATGGAGCGCGGATGTGTCGCGGTTGCGGGAGGAGGACGCGGGGCTGTGCGGGACGCCGGATGGGGCCTGCGAGAGAGGAGAGCAGGGGCGGGAGGGCCGGCCTAGGGGAGGGAGCGCGTGCGCGAGAGACCGAAAGACTGTTGCCACCCAGCAGCAACGCAAGTGCCTTTGACCTTGATTTGACTTTTCTCCTTTTTGCATTTGGTGCTATGGACTCAAGACACCAGCAGGCCGTGAGCTCGGGCCCACGGCGCGGGCCGGGCCGGAGCCGACCCTGTCTGGGTCTCGCCTGCTCGCGGCCGAGCAGTGTGTGGCAGGACGGGCCTGCGCCCAGCAGGGCTCTCAGGCTCAGGACCACTTTCCTTGGCAGCGGTTTCCTCGGGCAGAGCCCGAGTCGGGGTCTGTGTCCTTCCCAACGCCGATCCCCGCCAGGGGGCTTGCGGCTGGGATGGCGGCCTCGGGTTCCCTCCCTTCCCCGAGGACCCTGCGCTGTCCTGAGACAGCAAAGGCAGCTGACAAGGGCTGGACTTCAGGCACACGCTGCCTCTTCCACGGCAGGAATTTTTACCAAAACCACAAGCAAAAAACAAAACGAAACAAACCACCGCCGCCAACAAAGATGGGGGATAAGGGTTTTGTAAGGGTTCTGTACGGTTCATATTTTTGTATCATTTTGTCTATAAATGCGGACTTTGCCGTGGGAATTTGCAGACAAATGATCTATGTTTCTATGGTTTTCTACGGAAGGTGCCCCTTGAGCCGGCTCTCCCCAGCTGCGGGAGGCAGGCTCTTTCTGGGGGGCGCCCTGGGCCGGGTTCCTTGGGAGGCGCTTCTTGCCAAATGCAGATGAGGGGTGAGCCTGCCAATGTTTGTGACGTCCCCACACGACAGGTTTGTACTTTCTGGCTGTCGTGCGTTTTTGGGGGCGTCCAGGTGTTTGTACAAATGTGTAGATAACGTCTTGCTACAGCTTTTATTTGTGAATAAAAGATGCATCGGTTGTTCACGCAGTTGCCGAGTTCACTGGGCTTCCCCGAACACCTTGCTGTCCTCCGGGGGTCTGTGGGACGGCTTCCGGGCAAGGCCTTCAGGGAGGGTGGCAAGCGGACCGACCCTACCTGCATTTCCTCCCCGCCCCTCCCACTTCTTCTTGGCTCCGTCCAGCTCCGGCCCAGGCTGGCGTGGGCAGCCAGCTTGGGGGCTGGGCTGGTGGGAAACAGCCTTTTCTGGTGGGCTCCTGGCTGCCTTTCCACTGGGTTATGTTATCACGGGAAATTGAGGCAGGGGTGGTGGCAGCCCCCCACCCCCACTGGGAGCCTTGTCGCTGTCTTTGCTCCCTTCCTGCCTTTCCGAACAGACGCTCGCAGGCCCAGGTTCAGGACCCCACCCAGCACAGCCAGCCCCTCCCGTGGGGTCAGATCGGGACTAGTCCCGGAGGCCTCGGGCCTGGCTGTGTCCCGGCTTCAGTTTGCTGGCCTCTCCTGTGGTCCCACTCCCGAGACCAGTGGTCCCCAACCCTCGGGCCGCAGCCCAGTACTGGTCCACGGCCTGCTGGGGAACAGGCCTCGTGTCACCGCCTGAGCCCCGCATGCCCCGCAGCCCACGACACCTCGCCCCCCACCCTCGGTCCGTGGGAAAATTGTCTTCCATGAAACCGGTCCCTGGTGTCAAAAAGCTGGGGGACTGCTGTCCGTGACCCTTCTTCAGAGGAGGCCTGCCCCTCTGGGTCTCTGAGTGCCTTGCCCCACCTGATCTGCATACTCCCTCTGCGGCCACCTTGGCCGTGCCTTTGGTGGCCTCCTGTTCTCTCTGGGGTTTCTGTGGGCCTCACACTTGGCGTGTCCCCAGCGGAGCCAGTTGGTTTCCCCCCAAACCTGTTTCTTTGTCCTTGAGCCAGGCCCCACCTACCAGGCCTACGGAGGCTGCCTGGGCATCACCCCCTCGGCAGGCCTCTGGCGGCCCCCACACTCAGACCTGGCCCTGAGCCCCCCACTGTGCTGCACCCACCTCCCAGCTCCAGCAGGACCTTCGGCCCCACCCAGAAGCTGGGCCTTTGCAGCCGAGCTGGGACTGCCCTCCACGCCCGCCGGCCAGGTGCCCCTCCCTGGCTGCAGGCCGCGAGCGCGGGGCCTCCACCACGGCGTGGCACCCTGTGTGGTCTCTGCGTGTTTCCCAGTGTTTCCCAGCCTCGGTGGGGCCCTCAGGGGCAGGGCAGGCTAAGTCATCACCGCACCCCCCATGGCGCAAGGCTGGGCCCCAGGGGGCTGGGGGTGCCGGCTGAGGAAGGAGTGAACACATGAGTGATTCCGTGTCCTGACGGAGGGCTCCAGCTGCGGCCCCAGCAGGTGCAGCACACACAGCCCTTCCCAGCCTGCAGGACCCAGCCCTTCCTGTGGCCACGTGGCCTCCGTGGGTCAGGCCACAGGGCTGTCCCCACCCAGGCCCCCAGATGGGCACTTGGGCCACCTGGTCCTGCAGCCTGGGCCCTGCCCCCAGGCCCCTCCTTTTCTGAGGCCCGAGCAGGACCCCAGCAGGAGCGCAGGCTGCTGGGAAGGGCGTGGTGCTCCTCAGCCCCAGGACGCCCAGGCTGTGGCTTCTCCCACTGATTGGAGGACTCAGCGTCGGGTAGAAGCAGGGCAAGGGTGGTGGAGCCTGGGTGGGGTTGGCAGCCCCTCCCGGGACCCCCGCTCTCAGGGGACAGGTGGGGACGCCCACTTGGGCCATGGTCCTGCTGATTCAGTGCAGCCGGCTGTGACCCCTGACCTTCTGCACAGAGGCACCAGGCAGGTGCCCTGCTGCAGGGCCTGGGGCAGAGCCGGCCTGGCGGGGCAGCAGGGAGGCCAGGGGGGCTGCCCTAGAGCCCCGCCCACTGCGAGGGATTGGGGACGGGGCTCCCTCTCTGGCAGGCACTGCACTAACCACCCCCCAGTGAGGAGGGAGTGGGTCCCTTCCTTACGCAGAGGGCACCTGCTTCCTCCCCGTCCCTCAGTCACCTGAGAGGTCCAGAGCCTGCTCCTTACCAGGAGCCACCTCCGGCCCCAACCTTGCCTGTGCGCCAGCCCCGTGCTGGCCGGGCGCTGAGGGCCAGGCTCGGGCTGGGGCGGGGGGTGCTTTGGCGCAGCTGGGTGGCGCCTCCTTCCCCCTGTCCCAGCCGGGCTCTGCTGGATGGGGATCTGCTGTCCTGGGGCCAGCCTGGGGGCCTGGGGCCTTTCATCTGGGACATCAAAGCCCTCAGCCCTGTCATTACAGGCTGGGAACCTGGCTGGGAGCCCTGGAGTGTGAGTGCGCCCATTTTACAGATGAGAAAGCTGCAACCGCCCAGGACCCAGCTCTTTGATTGGACCCAAAGCCCAGGCAGCCCCGTCTGATGCCACCTGCGAGGGGCCTGTGCATCCTGCTTAGAACATTTGGGGAAACTGAGGCCCAAAGAGGACAGGGCTGCTCATGCCCCCACTCGGTGTTCCTCCCCTTTGAAGGAGGGCGGATGTGGAGTGTGCGGGGGTGGGGGGCAGGGGCCGAGCTGCCTGCAGGCCCTGCCTGGCTCTCACAGCGAGGGGAGAGGTCGGGGGTCGCAGTCTGGCTTCCTGGCGCCGGCCAGGCCTGCTGCCGCCATGAGACCGATCTAGGGGTGGGGGGCCTCCCTTTGCCACGGACTGGGCCAGCAGGGGAGGAAGGGAGCAGAGCCCCCCGCCCTGGATTCAGAATCCACGTCACCCAGCTGGGTCTCAGCTCCCGGGGCAGTGGCCTGGAGCTTCGAGAGCAAGCACGTGGCCCTCAGAGGTCCCTGTGCGCCTCCTTGTGTGGTCACCATCGCAGAGGCGGCAAAGGTGGCCCATGGCCGTGGCGCGGGAGGTGACGGAGGCCGGTGCGGCACGGTAGCGGTGGGGGTGGGGGTGGCGGGGCAGGCTCACTCGTGGGACGGCAGCACGGGGGACGGTGGCAGTGGAGGCCCGGCGAGCCGGGCAGGCAGTGTGCTGCATCCTGGGACCCAAACTGCAGCCCTTCTCTCCTCCCTGCTTGTGTGCGGGGCCCTGCCCCACGCTCTGGCCCCCAGAGGCCAGCTGGAAGGCCGGGTCCCCTGCGACATGGGCGCCAGGTCCCACCAGCAGCCTCTGTGGGGCTCCTGCTGGGCCCCAGCCCTTGTGGCTGGGGACCCCCCACGTGGGCCCCAAGAAACAGTGATACCTGCACTCTCTCGTGGGGGTGGAGTCTGGGCAGGGAGGGGAGGCTCTGCCAGCCTCCGCCTGTCTCTGAGCCTCAGTTTCTTCCTCTGCCCTCATGTGGTCACGGCTCGGTGCCTGTCCCCAGCTGGGTCTACCTGCAGGGCCAGCCCTGCTGCCTCTGGGCTGTCTGGAAGTGGCCCGGGCCTCAGGTGCCCCCACCGTGGACCCAGGGGAGTCGGAGGGGGCCCTGCTCTGTGACTGCACCCCCAGCGCCTCTCTGTGCCCTGGAATGGAGACCCCACACCTGCTCTGCTTCCCCCAGAGCCGGGGAGCCCTGGGGCAGGGCCGGGCTGCGATCTGCTCCCAGCAAACAGGAAGCTCCGGGTGATTTCTCCTCCCGCCATTGTGTTTCCCAAGGCGGGATCCGGCCCAGCTTCCACACAGGAAACCCGCGAGGCTGGGAGGGTCGGGAAGGAATTCCCTGGGCCGGCCAAGAAGTCTGGGCTTCCTGTAGGTCAGGCGGGCAGCGTGGGGGCTGGGAGCAGAGGTGAGAATGTGGTGTGTCGGGGAGAGGCGTGTGGGGCCTGGGGTAGAGGTGTGGGGTGTAGGGTAGAGGTGTGGGGTGCGGGGTAGAGGTGTGGGGTGTGGGGTGGAGGTGTGGGGTGCGGGTAGAGGTGTGGGGCCTTGGGTTGAGGTGTGTGGGGTGTGGGGTTGAGGTGTGTGGGGTGTGGCCAGACATGTAGGGTCACGTTGTCATGGGGACACTCAGGCTTCGGGTCTGTCTGCCCATCGGGGTGGCAGTGTCTCCCCTCTGCAGAAGCCAGTGTGGCTGTCACAGGAGGACATTTTTGGTGTCCGGGGAGAGGCTCTGGGAGGGGTGGGAGCCGAGAACGCGGCGAGGTCCTCAGAGACACTCCCCTCCAAGCCCGGGCCTGGGCAGCCAGAGGGTCC